ATACGTGCAAACACCTAGTTGCGGGTACACCAACGTGCAGTGAAGTTGGACAAAGTGCTGTGACTATGTGTCCCAGTCCACCAAGCTGTGAATTGGTACCTCGTTAGGATGAGAAAGCCACAATAACTCGATGCGCCTAGTGGCAGCAAGAGGTGTATACTCCCAGGGAGTTGAGATTGCTAATACGATGTGCAGTTGATATTGACATCATGATATTGTATCCAATGATCGAGGGAAAAATACCAGGCCTTGAGCATGCACTAGTGCGTGGCATGTGCGCTATATAAATATCCTATAATAATAATAATAATAAAAAAAGTTGGTTTAATCATAGAAGAATATAATGTATTACGTACGCAGGTATCTCTCAGCTTTACAACTGTACAATATCATCGCAGTCACACATACAAGTTGTAGGACATCACACAGACAGTTGAAATTGACATAAAGAAAGTAGTTTTATGAGATTATAGAAGTCAGAACAGCACCTGTCACAGCAGTTGTATCAGACATTGGGAGAGGAAGTGTGGTACAAGGTTTTTGCAAATGAATATCATCCATCATGTTAGTTTACTCTATAAAAATATCGTCAATATTTTAACTTGTGTTTTATGTTCTGGGTTGTAGATGATTGTGTTATACTTGGTTTCCTGCTATTAGTCCATATACGTTCACCTATGCTATTGCTAATGTTACATATGACACATTGTGGCTATTGTATTCAATGTACTTTCTATATTCACTGTCAGTGCTGTGTTCGTTTAATAGCTGTTTTCACTGTGTTCTTTTCGTTGTTTCAGCCCGGGCTATATGTACCCAGTCAATTGCTTACAAGGCCGATGACAAAAGAACAAACTGCTGAGGTAATTACGTTCAACCCACCAAATGCGCCGTGGAAACCTGTGTAATTGATAGCATGAGCACGACGGATACGCGATGCCCAGTGAACAACGAACCTGACCACGTGGGATGGGGAATAGCTCAAGCACCTAAAGAACTTTCTGATTGCAGCATATATACCTCATTCTTTCACTCATTCATTCACACTGTCTTTTTCAGTTTGAGAAAACTGCGTTAAAAGCGACGGCAATTGGTCGAGCGGGTACCCCAGAAGAAATGGGTCACGTTGTGACATTCCTAGCCTCGGATAAAGCAGCCTTTGTTACTGGAGAGAGTGTCAGGGTCGATGGTGGGTTCTCAGTTACCACACCGGCCCTTGGATGAATATGTTGGGGGATGCTTGAGGCGCACTTGCCGCCACCATTAGCAGGCTGTGTAAGGAACATTCAAATATACAACAAATATATTCCCCTACTTCACACCCGTGAAACATGACTGAGTATTTTTATGTATTGACTATTTAAAGTCAGTTATTTCTAAATTTATTTCAAATCATCGGCTTGAAAATTCTGAATAAGAAGGACATATCAATTTGTTGTTTAACACCGCACTCTGGACCAGTCTTGACCAGACAATCCCGTAATTAGCGTCATGAGCAACGACCGGCGCAATTAGGATACGATGACATGAAATAATGCTAATGTGATTACAATGTCTTTGGAGGAATTCTGCAACATTTGGTCTCACTTATCAATATATATGACGTATATTCTGAAAACCTCTTTTAAGCTTTGTTTGTCTAGTTAAGCAGTTGAGCACAGGACTGTGTTCAACAGCTGTCAGTTTTTAAATAACTGAAAAAAAGATAGTTACTACATTTTAAGCCACCAGTAAGTTACACAAGCACATGAGTTTCGTCAATAAAATCACCGTTTGACAAGAATATCTGAACCACCGTGCTTGTTTGATACTGTGTTATCAACAAACACACACACACACACACACACACACACACACACACACACACACAACACACACACACGCACGCACGCACGCGCGCGCGCACATACACACACACACATCTGTGAACCACCCTGTTGGATTGGTACACCATTACCTACACAAGCACATTTATGAACCACCGTGTTGGATTGGTACATTATTGTCAACACACACAAACACATCTTTGAACCACCCTGTAGGATTGGTACACAAATTCAACACACACAAACACATATGTGAACCACCCTGTAGGATTGGTACACCATTGTCAACACACACAAACACATTTATGAACCACCGTGTTGGAATGGTACATTATTGTCAACATACACAAACACATCTGTGAACCAACCTGTTGGATTGGTACACCATTGTCAACACACACAAACACATCTGTGAACCACCCTGTTGGATTGGTACACCATTGTCAAAACACACAAACACATCTGTGAACCACCCTGTTATATTGGTACACCATTGTCAACACACACAAACACATCTGTGAACCACCCTGTTGGATTGGTACACCATTGTCAACACACACAAACACATCTGTGAACCACCCTGTTGGATTGGTACACCATTGTCTACACACACAAACACATCTGTGAACCAGCGTGCTGGATTGGTACACCATTGTCTACACACACAAACACATATGTGAACCACCCTGTTGGATTGGTACACCATTGTCAAAACACACAAACACATCTGTGAACCACCCTGTTATATTGGTACACCATTGTCAACACACACAAACACATCTGTGAACCACCCTGTTGGATTGGTACACCGTTGTCAACACACACAAACGCATCTGTGAACCACCGTGCTGGATTGGTACACCATTGTCAACACACACAAACACATCTGTGAACCACCCTGTTGGATTGGTACACCATTGTCAACACACACAAACACATCTGTGAACCACCGTGCTGGATTGGTACACCATTGTCTACACACACAAACACATCTGTGAACCACCCTGTTGGATTGGTACACCATTGTCAACACACACAAACACATCTGTGAACCACCCTGTTAGGATTGGTACACCATTGTCAACACACACAAACACATCTGTGAACCACCCTGTTGGATTGGTACACCATTGTCTACACACACAAACACATCTGTGAACCACCCTGTTGGATTGGGCCACCATTGTCAACACACACAAACACATCTGTGAACCACCCTGTAGGATTGGTTAACCATTGTCAACACACACGAACACATCTGTGATCCACCCTGTAGGATTGGTACACCATTGTCAACACACACAAACACATCTGTGAACCACCCTGTAGGATTGGTACACCATTGTCTACACACACAAACACATCTGTGAACCACCCTGTAGGATTGGTACACCATTGTCAACACACACAAACACATCTGTGAACCACCCTGTTGGATTGGTACACCATTGTCAACACACACAAACACATCTGTGAACCACCCTGTAGGATTGGTACACCATTGTCAACACACACAAACACATCTGTGAACCACCCTGTTGGATTGGTACACCATTGTCTACACACACAAACACATCTGTGAACCACCCTGTTGGATTGGTACACCATTGTCAACACACACAAACACATCTGTGAACCACCCTGTTGGATTGGTACACCATTGTCAACACACACAAACACATCTGTGAACCACCCTGTAGGATTGGTACACCATTGTCAACACACACAAACACATCTGTGAACCACCCTGTTGGATTGGGACACCATTGAATCCCGCCTCTCTCATCATAAAATGTTGATGTGACATGAATATTACACACCAAGGACGATAAATTGTACTCTACTGTTACTGGAAGCCGAATAATGTTAACTGCTACATGATTGCTAGGGCATAGTTACACAATGAATACACGACTTAAGATAATGCCACATGGCTATAATTACTTATTTTGACCTTATCTCTAATGTTCACCAGTAACCAAAGCCCCAAACTCCATAATCGATAAATACTTGTCCGGGACGACCTCCCAGGAATGAAACACTAACAGCGATAATACGGGCGCTCGTAACAAGTTGACATCACCCTGACCCAGCCGTGGGCCACGCGACAAACTCATTCAGTGAGAATCAAATGTGAAGCACTTGCGTAATGTGAAGTTCACTCAATACTTCGGTTTGATATTAAGTTACAATACACACACCATCGATATTAAAGTATGCTCAATACATTCCAAACGTCTAGAACTCAACTGATGCCATGTAGTCCGAGTATTGCAGTGTGTCGTTAAACAAAATATCTTGAGTAGTTGGTGGTTGACTTTATGTCGGGGGCAGTTTAATCATAGCAGAAATTCATTGGTTTTACATGTATTATATGGTTATGTATATAGCGCTACAGTCCATCCAACATGTATGCTCAAAGCGCTTCTTTATTTTTCCCTCGATTATTGGATGTCAGTCTCAGCGGCACATCATATTATCAATCTCAACTCCCTGGGGATCATACAACTCTTGCAGCCACTAGGCGCACCAAGTTAATGTGACTTTTCCCATCCTTTCGAGGTACCCATTCACAGTTGGGTGGACTGGGACACAAGTCCATGTTTACTGCACGTTGGTGTACCCGCAACTAGGTGTTTGCACGTATTCTTGTGGTCACTATCTGGTCATTTACCAACGGATTCGTGGGTTCTTTTAAGTGCACAGGGTTGTGTACTGCACACTAGGGGTTGTGACAACGCTGAAAGAGTCTGCACTCCAAGGGTTTTACGCCCAGTCACAGGTGGGCTCGATCCCGGCCACGTCCAAATACTTTTCATTAAAGGGTATCTCACAACTTCATAATTGTAAAATATATTAAATTACAATATTATTTTATACATTTATCTAAATATTTACCAGTTACTGCATATTTTGTAACTCTGACTGAGCACATGGTCTTCAACCATGTGCTTCAGCCATTTAAACTATTTGGCTTACATTATACATTCTGCCTGAACTCTTACAGGAGGGAGGTTCTCTGTTTTCAGCCTTCCTCCCAACTTTGAACTCAAATAAACTTCATCTTTCATCGAGAACTGCTCTTGTTATGACTAGCAGCCCAGTGGCTGGACATAACACACCACACCCGGCTACACCTACACTGAATAGACGTGCTTTGCTGAGTCATAGTTTTGGAGGACAGGGTGCAAAGTGCAAGCAAGAGTGCGCATGCGTTTACATAGTTAAATATAACTTCGCCGGTTTAGCTGTAGATACACAGTCACCTGTCGCCGTGCAAGGTATTACAGTACACAGAGTCTCGAATAAACAGACTTGCTGATCCAGTCACCTTCTGTTGAAATGGCCCTGAGAGGAAAAGTTGCTATAATTACAGGTGAGATTGTTAGTTGTGTAATACGTATAAAGGAGCTGTTTCTCATGTGTTTGAATCCCCCACCATTAGAATGTCAGCAAGTAATAATATTTCAGGCCTATTTCTCATGTTGCCCAGCACACGATATATGTATATTGAATAACTGATAACCCAGCTGAGCCTAAACTTGCATTTGTAATGTTGCTGCGCATGCGTGAGTCAGACGTGTTTTGAAACAGCGGGAGAAAATGGGCATCTCTTTATCACAATATCGGGCAAAAATAAGCTGCTTTATTTACCCAGATAAATCTAAACGATCCATTAATGGAATCCAACTTGCCAGCACTTCGACTTCCATGTGTTTGAGACTTTTGCTACCTTTGAGCACATTGTTGGTGACATGTGGATCAAGTCGAGGTGAACCCCGGACCCGCGACGAGACAACAAACATTCACATCTGATGATGAAGGGGCAATCCAATTAGAGCAGAACGCTTCTGATGTTGTGAGAATGCTATATGGAACTTTAAAACGCTCAAATCCAGGGTAGACAATGTGCCGACCGACTTCAATCAAGAAGCTCAACACCATTCAGTCAGAAAACTTGGACTCAAAACTCGGAGCTATGGAGAAATAAGTCGACAATTAAGAAGTGAGAAGTCGGCGTGATAATTTATTATTTCACGGGTTGCCAGGGACAGTTGGTGAATCGTGGGAGCAATGAGAAAGAAAAGTGCGTGATTTCATGGCGGATACATTACAAAGGGGAAGTCATGCGGACAGTGAGCTATTCACTGGAGCTCATCGTTTAAACCCCCAAACGGCACAATCGCCAGTGATCGTGAAATTAACGAGGGATAAATCAACTGTTTTCACAAAAGCAAGAGAAATTCCGAAGTGGGACGGTAACCAGCGCGTGGCCGAGGACTTTACTCAACGAGTGCGCGGACTCGGCGAGGTCAGGCGCTCCCTCCACCCATGGCTTGTCCAAACAAACGTGTGAAAATGCGACAAAACAAACTTATCATAGATAGATCTGTGGCCAAGAAAGGTCGAGAGAAGAAGGACGTTGTTGTGTGACGAAGAGCGGATATTACTAGGTCTTTACGAGGATCCCCCACGGAATGCAAAGATGCAGTGACAAGAAACGCGTAGTAGTTTGTTTACATCTGATGTATGTTGAAGTAGTGACAACGCAAGGGAGGCTACTCTTAATCTGTCTCACAGTTACCTACTGCCTGATCCTGCAATGCTAAAGCCCTAAATGAGTTTTGTGAGTGAGTTTAGTTTTACGCCGCACTAAGCTATATTCCCGCTATATGGCAGTCTAAAAGAAGTAAGTCTAGATATATCCCAACTCACTGGGACTTCTTTGAGGGCAAAGTGTTCGTTGAGGCTACTTCCAACACAAGCTCGAGATACGACACCAATGCCCAATCGAGAAGGAAGTACGAGAGAACATTGTAAACATTCTAAGGGACCATTCATAATTTATGGCTAGGGGGTGATGATGATTTTTATGGAGAAGCATGTACAACGTGAATGACTCCCCCTAAAATTTATGTACAAAATAAGTGCCCCCCCTGCATGTCATGTAAAAATACAATGACCCCCGCTCCCCTACCCATAATTTCTAAGCATAATTTTATACAGTTTTATATGAACAAAATTGATGACCCCCCTAGTACGTGTGTACAATATTGATGACCCCCTAGCTTGCCAGAACAAAATGGGTGGAAACCCACCCCACCCCGGCCCACCCCATAAATTATGAACGGACCCTAACGTGGTACGTTGAAGGTTTGAGGAAATACGACAGTCCTTTATCACCTCTTAAAACTACTGTATTGGTAATTAAGAAATTATAGGGTTCAGTGCAAGTTATGTTCATCCTGATCATGAATTCAGTCATTTTCTAACCGGCTACCGTGTTTTTAATAGTGTACGTCAAAGAGTTCACAACATCGGACGTTATTTTGGAGGTGTGACTGTGTTTGTAATGGATTTGTTTTCACGATAATGGTATCGTTGAACGTGTGTTAGAACATGTTCAGAACTGTGTTGTTTTGATTTTTCATGCAACACGTTTCAAGTGAGACAGAGACATAATTTTACTATTCCCATACGCAGCCAGCTCCAGAAAATGCACCACATCATGCATTGTTATCACGATGCTTGTGGTTTTTGTTTATGGGTATTTTCCTGGTGAGTGGTACTGGTCATATTCTTTGTGTACAGCTGATATTATTTCAGGTCTTGTTTCTGATGTTGTTTATATGGCTGTTGGTGTCTGTTTGATCTTTGTGAGGCTTCTCTGATATGTATGGTGCCGATGACGTTTGATTGTAACTGTTGAAGTGATGTTTCCGATATTGTTGGTGAGGCATTTGATGATGTTGTTTGTGAGACTGAGATGATGTAGTGGGCTTTTCATAATGTCTGACGTTGATTAAAAAAAACTATCTGTCGTGAATTGCTGTTGCATAAGATCTTTCTGCTGGTGTTGCTGTCAACAGGGCTTGTTTGTCGGACTACTGCCAATGCTGACGTTGTCACTCGCATGGTTTTCTTCCAGCTGTTACCTTCTGCTGTCTGACGTTCCTTTCATAACTACCTATCATCTATATCCTTACCTGTTGACTGTAAGAACTGGCTGAGTATTGTTGCAATATTTCAGGACTGAATGTTGTTATTAGTCATTCGTGATTAGTTTTCATGTTAAGATAAGTTAGTTATCAGATTTCACCAAGATACTGAAGGACGCTTGATTCTGAAAGGTGAACATGACATTGAAATCTGAAGTCCAGTGCCATTCCATACCTTGAAATGAACAAGTTTCATAAAAAAGGTGTACATGAATCCATAGGTCTTCCGATAGCATCTTTACATATACAGATAGTAGGTAATTATAGCAGATGTAATAAATACATTCAAATGAAAAACATGCACAAATATAACAATACAAAAAATGCACATTCCAGAAGGAACTGGAATTCTTATTACGTTTGAACACAATCTATGTTTTAGGTTCCAGTTCAGGAGTTGGGGCAGGAATTGCTGTAGCTTTTTCAAAAAGAAGGAGCCAAACTGTCCTTGACTGGTAGGAACCAGAAGAATTTGGAGGAAGTGGTCAAGGACTGCAAGAAGGCGGGCTGTGAGGTGAGTAGAAACCAATAGAGAAATCAGGATCTGATCTAACACACCTGTCACTATTCTGTACGCACAGTACAGAACCGTCCTTGTAGATTTCATTGGCGTTAACAGCAAAACCCCTAATTTGGCAGTAAGGGGTGATATGGGATGGACTAGTACTTTGTCAAAACATAGAAAAGAAGTATTACGATTTTGGGATAAGCTGCACCGTATGGCACCTGATAGATTGCCGTGTGTTGTTAGCAGCTGGCCACGACGTTTAGCCAAAACATGGGATAACACAGTGTCATCTTTATTACAATCATTGCTTCTCCCAGTGCGTGATCTGCTACAAATGTCTAGTAGTGAATTGACTTTGTCATTTCAACATATACAGTTGTTAGATCATCAGGAGTGGTTACGGGAATTGTGGAATGACCAGGGTAACCCTAACGGTAATAAGCTACGCACATATAGACAGTTTAAGTACACAGTTACTCCAGAACCATACATAACTTCTATTCTGCCCAGATGGCACCGTAGCGTTCTAGGTAAACTTCGCTGTGGTACACTTCCATTAGAAATAGAACGTGGTAGATTTTCTCGTCCTAAGACGCCACTTGCAGACAGACTTTGTCGTCACTGCACTGTAGAAGTCAGGCTGTCGAAGACGAAGTCCATTTCTTAGTTAGCTGTCCTTATTATTCTGATCTTCGGTACTAGTATCTTACACCCATATTTTGCACAGTTATCAAACACTGAACAAGCTACATTCCTCTTACAAAAAGAAAATATTGTTAATCCACTGCGCCGCTTTAGTTAGCCGTATTGTATCGGCGTAAGCTATCATCCCAATAACTTATAATAATAAGTTCTTTCATATTAGTGATACTCCTCTATGTTTTAATTTTATATGTTATATATTTTATGCACATATTGTCTAGTGTGTCCCATTGTCCATCTGGACTGGTGTTTGTATTTTTCAATGTTCTTTTACCACTGCCATTTTTGACATGTACTGACTGACTGACTGAGTTTAGTTTTACGCCGCTTTTAGCAATATTCCAGCAATATCACGGCGGGGGACACCAGAAATGCTTTTGACATGTACATTCACGTGACACATAAATAAACTATTTTGTCTGTCTGTGGTAAAGGCATAGCCCATGTTCTTCATGGCGCGGCGAATCATTTAGGCTATGAAAGTGATCTGCAAAAAGAAATTGGTACAGTCCCAAATCTATCACAAAATCAGTGCCTAAATCAGTCATTAACTATCCTTCCTCATTGTCAAATAGAAGAAAATACAATCGTACTGAAGTAATGATTAATCAAGGTGATCAACTTCCTTTTTTTAGGATGTTCTCATAAACGTGGGTGACATCACGCAGGATGCTTTCAGAAGGACTCTCGTGGAGTCAACCAAGAAGAAGTTCGGGAAAATAGACATACTGGTGAGTATAGTTCAGCTACGACAGAAGAAAATCTGCATACATATTCATTGCGAGTGATTACTTGGCATCTGATTGGTTCCCAAGGCATTTTCACGTGTGAGACATCCCAGGCGTCTGTCCGGTTATCCATTGTTGCTAGTATAAATAAAATTAGTTATTGAAAATTTCAACTGATTTTAATTCCCTTATATATTTTTGTCACACGTGAAATGATTATATCATTCATTTTATATATTACACACAAGAGGAGTTAAATCTGTTTCTTACAACTAAACATATTTGCCCGATTGCAATGTTTGTCATCTGCAAGAGCGGAACAATGGCAGATGCAAACAGCATCTACCGTCACTTTCATTCAGGGAAAGCTTGATATGATTTCCGATGCTGCCTTATACGAACGATCTGAAGATTGAGGCGTCGAGCGCATTTGCGATAGTATATATCCTCGCTGTTTCCAGACCCTTGGAAGTCGAACGTGAACCACCCAAACTACAACCCCAAACCGAGAAAAAAGTCAGAGAAGTAATTTAGAATGAAAATGTTCTAATAGATTCACTTTTCGTCATTCCGCGGCACCATAACAAACACCAAATGGGGTGTTAAATGTTACAATTAAATAGATATTTATGTCTGAACCACCACACCATATCAGTAAGGCAAAAGTTAAAATATCTTTGCAGTTTGTCTTTTGCCACAGGATGTCCCCAGGGACGTCTGCATATTATCGAGCCAGGAACACACACGTTCAGCTTAACGTATTGTTTAAATGTTCTGCTATTTGTTTCTTGTTTATCGCTTAAAACAGTTATGGAACATCCATAGGGCAGTTGCAGAACCAGAAAATACTGTGATTGCTAGTTTAAGCAAAGACCCATGATGTAGGGATATTGTGAAACGCATGTACCAAAGTCACCGAGTCTGATCAGCCAATCCATTAAAACGCCTCTCTGGACAAACACGGGCATCACATCAAACTCCCAACATCCACTGGGTGCTTCTGCTGATCTGATTTCCAGGATATCTTTGAGTCATGTGTACAACGATACACTGCGAGCAGAAAATGCAACTATTTGAAAATTCACATCAACTTATGAGCAGAACCCATAAGCTCTTCACATGAAAATTTAGGTCCCTATCGATTAATGCTTATTTTCGTTTGGGAGAGTGAGTGAGTGAGTTGAGTATTACGCCGCACTCCAGCTATATGGTGGTGGTCTGTAAATAATCGAGTCTGGAACAGACAACCCAGTGATCAACATCCAGTTCCTGCGCAATTGGGAACCGATGACATGTGTCATCCAAGTCAGCGAGCCTGACCCCCGATCCTGTTAGTCGCCTCTTACGACAAGCATGGGTTACTGAAGGCACATTGTAACCCGGACCTTCACAGGTCCTTATTTTGGTTTGGAGTACTTGAGCTTTATTCCCTCAAAATAACGTTATGTCACGACTTTCGACGTTAGATTTGGGCTTTACACACTGTATCCACATTGAGATCGGGTGGTCATTGGTTAGTTGGTGGATAACGTGTCGTAATACCTAGAGGGTGTGAATCGTAGATCATATTATTAATCACTGGATTGTCCGCGTGAGTGAGTTACGATTTTAAGTCACAACGGCAGTTTTTCAGCCATATCGTGTCTATATCAAGTTACAGATATATAAAAATCAAATGTAAATTATATAAACCTGTCACCGAAGGACAGTACAAACAACTAAAAACACCTATAGATGTAAAACTAGTACGTCAATTTAAACTTTGAACCATTGAGACAATACAATATTAAAAGAGACCATAGAACACCAACAGAAGAATGGAGCTCACCATACTACGTACCATGGGGACAGTAATTTTGCTTCCTGCATGGACCCAAGCCGGATTTACACCATCACGTCAGATGTTAGCAATTGTAGAAAAATCTGGACTCAAATACCTACGATTATTATTATACTCAAGCCAATAATGGTTGTCGCCCCAGCCTATTAATACAATTGAAGGGGGTGACAACCATTATTGGCTTGGGTATATTTATAACAGAGTATGGCGTTAAATCTGAACACGAACAAATAAGCTGTTTCATATGTCTGTGTTTAGGTGAATAATGCCGGGAAAGGATGCATGTGTCCGCTGCAATCAGCTACCAAAGAGCAGTACGACACTACGATGGCTGTAAACTTGGAGGCACCTTTGTTTTTGACACAGTTAGTTGCACCGCATTTGATTGAAACCAAAGGTACGAAATAATCTTGAACGAAATAATCCTCAAGATTTACACTCACAAACAATTGTTCACTGGATATCCCGGATGTCCTGGGAAAAGTTAGTTTCGCCATAAATTGTTCAGCTCCTCGTTTCAGAAAAAAACCTTGTACGTCATATGGATCGTAGGACATTTAACAATATTCTAATACCTGTATGGTAATTGCCGATAAGATGTTGAAGTGAAACGCGGGGTATTTTGTTGCTTTTTTCACTGGATATCCCGAGTGTCCTGGGAAAAGTTAGTTTCACCATAAATTGTTCAGCTCCTCGTTTCAGAGAAAACATTGTACGTCATATGGAACGCAGGACATATAACTTATTCTATGCCTGCATGGCGATTGCCGAAAAAGTGAAAACGGGGATATTTTCTTGCTTTCTTCCGGAAGATGTCATATGAGTATAGTCACTAGTGTTTAGGCTAAACATATCTTTTGTTTCAGGAAACGTGATCAATACCTCGACCTCCGGTACGGGTACAATTGTAAGTGTTATGTCAGCAAATACAGGAATAATTCACAACTGTAAAATTGAACTACTTGAAACATTCCCCTGGTCATTTTAGTTCGGTATAGGCCACACGTACCACACACTAAGCCGAGTGATGTGTCAGTAAAGAAAGTATGAGTTGTGGCGACATAAGATTAGTCCCTTTTCAAGTTCAGAAACACTAAGCTTATCAATCATTTTCGAAATCTATATAAACGAATTGAATTGAACCGGCTATTATTTTCACATATCATTCACGGACGTTTCTACATATGATATGTGCAGGCACCGGGTGGCGGTGTCTACATTATGTCGAAGGTTGCCCTAGAGACATTTACACGATACCTTGCTCAAGGTTAGTATGTAGAAACCTTTTGCAACAGTTGTGTTTCTCACACAATATCAAAGTACCAGTAACGCAAATTACTCACTCAATAATTATAAAACTAATTTGAAGCAAATGCATTTTTTTAATTTCGTGAACATTATACAACATAATATATATAAGAATCCGCGTTATTGTTTGACCAAATAATCCATATCTGTGGCAGAGGGAAGAGATCATGAAATATTCCTAAGCGTGGTTAAACAGCAAACGACGTACAAACTTTCTTTCCACAGAATTGGCGTCAAAGGGGGTACGTGTCAATGCAATCAAGTAAGTACATATGAAACAACAACAATTGTTGCTGAAGGGATGGCTATTATATATCGATGGGATATGGCTTATGTTCATTTGAGTTTCAAATGAGATTCTCTATGCTTCATATCTGTTTTTGTTATAATGTGTTATTATTTGTCATGATTCCATCCGGTTGCACGCTTAATGTAAGTTTCTTACTCAACATGTCCAGTATTCGATAGCGGTTTATTAATTATATAATACTAATACAAACTGTCCTTTTCGGGATTTATTCATAGAAGAGTACATTGTAATGCGTACAGAGGTATCTCACAAATTTTACCACAGTACAATACCATCGCACTCACATGTACAATTTGTAGGACATCGAACAGACAGTTGAAACTGAGTTAAAGAAAGTAAGTGAGTCTAGTTTTACGCCGCTTTTAGCAATATTCCAGCAATATCACTGCAGGGGGCACAAGAAATTCGCTTCAGATATTGTAACCATGTTGGGAACCGAACCTCGGTCTTCGGCGTGACGAGCGAACACTTTTACCACTAGGCTACCCCACCGCCCGTTTAAGAAAGTAGTTTATGAAATTTTAACAAGTTAGCTCCGTCATATTAGTTTGCTCCATCAGAAAATCGTCGATCTATTAAGCTGTATTTTACTCTCTAGGTTGAAGATGAATATGTTATACTTGGTTTCCTGCTATTAGTCCATATACGTTCACCAATGCTATTGCTAATGTTACATATGACTCATTGTGGCTATTGTATTCAATGTACTTTCTATATTCACTGTCAGTGCTCTGTTCGTTTTATTAGCTGTTTTCACTGTGTCGTTTTCGTTGTTTCAGTCCGGGCTATGTACCCAGTCAATTGATTTCAAGGCTGGTGCCTAAAAAAGAAATATCTGATGAGGTAAGTAAGTCCAGCCCACCAAATGGACGGAGTGAGTGAGTTAAAATTTAAAGTAACATCGGCAGTATTTCAGCCATGCCCATCAAATGGAAACCTGTGTAATTGATAGCGTTAGCAACTCCACGCCGCTGCGGATACACGACGCTTAGTGAACAACGAGTACGTACCTGACCACCCGATCCTTTTAAGGCGCCTCCTACAACAAACACTGACTTAGTGAGTGAGTTTAGTTTTACGCCGCACTCAGCCATATTCCAGCTATATGGCGGCTGTCTGTAAATAATCGAGTCTGGACCAGACGATCCAATGATCAACAGCCCGAGCATCGATCTACGCAATTGGGATACGATGACATGTGTCAACCAAGTCAGCGTGCCTGACCACCCTATCCCGTTAGTCGCCTCTTACGACAAGCATGGGTTACGGAAGATCAATTCTAACCCGGATCTTCACGGGTAACAAACAGTACTTACCCTTACCCACGTGGGTTGAGGAATTGCTTGATAACAGCGTAGTTCAAGCACCTAAAGGACACTCTCATTATATCATATATACTTCATTCTTTCACTCATTCATTCACGCACTCTTTACAGATTGAGAGAGTTATAGTAAAAGCGACGCCAATTGGTCGAGCGGCAACCGCAGAAGAAATCGGTCATATTGTAGCCTTCCTAGCCTCCGAGAAAGCAGCCTTTGTAACTGGGGAGTGTTTCAGGGCCGATGGTGGGTACACAATGACCACACCAGCCCTTGGATGAATACGTTGGGGGATGCTTGAGGCGTACTTGCCTCCACCATTAGCAGATTGTGTAAGAAACGTTCGTATGTGTAGCATACTATACAAATGTTAGTAAAACTTGACAAATTACTTTAATTTATGGATTATTTAAAATGAAAAAAAGTAATTATTCCAAATCATCGGCTTGAAAATTCTTGATAATTATGAAATATTACTTTGTTGTTTAACGCTGCACTCAGCAATACTACAGTCTGGAGCAGACAATCCAGTGATCAACGTCATCATCATTGAGTTACGCAATTTGTATACGATTTCATGAAATATTCGTAATATGAATAAAATTTCTTTGAATAAATTCTGTAAGATTTTGTGCGACTTCTAATTAGATAAATATATATGGATGTGCATTCTCAAAACCTGTTTCACGCTTTGTTTGGTTGGTTAAAGAGTCGATAGGAGGTTGATAAGAATCTTTCAGTTTATAAGTAGTTACCAACTCTTTCGATGCAGTCCGCCTCAGACGCACGTTTTCAGCCACCTGTAAGTTAAAAATGGACATGGGCCACCGTGTTTGCTTGGTGCAGTATTGTCTACATACACAAACAAACACAGCCGATGCGCCAACACAATGCCACTGTCTTGTCTTGGCGCTACTGACCAAGTGTAATATATACTACCCTTCAAAGCTTTAGACTCACTTAAAACACTCACTATTTGTTATGTATATACATGTGGTTACATCGAAGATGAATTTCTCCACTTGGGGGAACCAACTGCAAACCTTATGCAGATGCATAGCACGAGGATCATGCATCAACTTGCTGAAAAGCATGTGCAAAGGGCGTGCATGTGAACAGCTGCGTTTTGGTGTAAAGTTTTGTTAAGAATTCGCCAATTGTCTAGGCGCTACTGACCAAGTGCAATATATTCTACCCTTCAAAACTTTAGACTCACTTAAAACACTCACTATTTGTTATGTATATACATGTGGTTACATCGAAGATGAATTTCTCCACTTGGGGGAACCAACTGCAAACCTTATGCAGATGCATAGCACGAGGATCATGCATCAACTTGCTGAAAAGCATGTGCAAAGGGCGTGCATGTGAACAGCTGCGTTTTGGTGTAAAGTTTTGTTAAGAATTCGCCAATTGTCTTGGCGCTACTGACCAAGTGCAATATATACTACCCTTCAAAACTTTAGACTCACTTAAAACACTCACTATTTGTTATGTTTATACATGTGGTTACATCGAAGATGAATTTCTCCACTTGGGGGAACCAACTGCAAACCTTATGCAGATGAATAGCCGAGGATCATGCATCAAATGGCTGAAAAGCATGTGCAAATATTTCGCAAAATCTAGTTTAGATCAGTTGACTGAAGTAAGTGGCTACATTCACACTAGTGAGTCTAAACTTATGATGGGGAGTATATTTTTTGGATCCGGAGTCACACTGACTTGTTATGGATCTGATCAGTTGAAATCTGTCCATGTGAGACAAAAAAAAGTTTGGAAAAATGTAACACATTTCAATGTGTAATTGTAACTGTACGAGTGAGTTTATCCACACAAACACTGGGCAATAATCCCGTTCATCTTACCTGTAAATGACAGTAATGTCTCACCTACGATGTGATGCCAAGATTCAACGTGATTATTTGTATCTTTCATAACGCATCACGTTATGGCAAACATCTTATTTTGCATGTGTCACAATGCTAAACATTTTCTCATTATGATGTTTGACTTTGAAAACGTAACTAGGTTCCATGCCCCCTAAGTTGTAGCTGATAATATGTAAATGTCAATTTTTTATTCTGTACATCTTATCTTTTACATGTTAATGTCATATGACTTATAGGGATGCGTTGTGACATCACCCTTGCAACTTCAATTGGATCAATGATAAATCTATTGAGGAAATATTCATAACTTGTTACCATATCAACACATAGGTACGTAAGTGCACACACACACACACACACACACACACACACACACACACACACACACACACACACACACACACACAAAACCGTTCCCGTCCCAGTTAACAAGTGAGCGAGCGAGTATAGTTTTTTTCGCCGCAGTCAGCAATACTCCAGCTATATGGCGGCGGTCTGTAAAGAATCGAGTCTGGATCAGACAATTCAGTGATCAACATCATGAGCATCGATCTGCGCCATTGGAAACCGATGACATGTGTCAAACCAAGCCAGCGAGCCTGACCACCCGATCCCGTTAGTTGCCTCTTACGATAAGCATGGGTTACTGAAGATTCATTCTTATCCGGACCTTCACGGGTCTAATTAACAAGTAAACACGAAGGCAAGCATACTAAAACAACGTAAAGCACACAAGAAACCAACCAATCCCAAACCAAATATCAAATACTAAATGCCACCTAGACGTACTTTGATTCCAATTATTGTATTGTGATCTAAGAAAGCGATCATGTATCAACTTGCAATTGGCAACTGACTCAAGTTTCACCCCATCACTAAAAAATAAATAAATTATTTTTTACCAAGTGGTTGAATTAACTCCATGGCCTTTGAAATCGCGTTCTCCAGTGTTGTGGAGGTGCAGTTGAAACCTGTTCTTTTCATGTCATAGCTATGCAGGCCAGTTAAGAACTGACAGTTACATGTACCATGTTACTAGTGCTGAAGAAAGAAGTGCTAGTAGGGTAAGCTAAATTTGCTACTCTACAGAGTTCATGCCAATAATCCCAGACAGCATCACCTGACGTCCCGTCATTCCACATGGTGATTCAGAGATTTTACGTGCGCTTTCCGACATGATGCGTATTTCCCAGACGTGAATGCAAGGCAATTTTGTTTAATCGCTTGACGGTGATTTTGAACGAAAGATTTTTAAAACTAAAATGTTGTATGTATATTAATTTTTACGTTTGCCAGAAATGGTGGGGAGAGCGGAACAATGGGGTGGTTTAGGTCGGAATCGTTTTGGTTTGTGTTTGTTTGTTTTTCCTCTTTTATTATTTCGGTTATGTGTTTTTGTGTTGTTTTCGTAATACTACTTACTGGTTAGATGGTGTTATACGACCTAGACGACCAGTTTTAATCAGAAATGTACCTAAGACTTTGAAGGTTTGAGTGTTATTTAGTCAGCTTAGGAGTGTTGGTAGTGTTAGGTGAGTGTTGTCTGAACTGTGTAGTGGAAATGCTCGTGTGTTTCTGTTCCCTAATGTCTGCCTATTTACAGCCCACTTAATGGCTGTCTGAATCCATCGACAGCAGACTTAATGTCTGCCTCAGTCCATCTACAGCTGGCTTAATGTCTGCCTCAGTCGATCTACAGGCGACTTAATATCTGCCTGAGTCCATCTAAAGCAGACTAATGTCTGCCTGAGTCCATCTACAGCCGACTTGTCAGGTTTTAACATTTAACATCTTATTTGTATCTTAGTTTTTGTATGTTTTATATGATGTATGTTAAATACTCAATATGTTTAGATCATTGCGTCAAGACGTACAATCCTTTCCCTGAAACGAGGAACGATTTGTTGTTACAGCATCCAGCATATCATTCTGTAAGACATTGTTTTGTCGGAAATCTTGAGACAGTTGGCTTTTTAGCACCTTCAGAAATCACAATCAAATACGGTGTAATTAACTTTGTCATAAACACAGGTTCCTCCACGTTTACGGACATGAAACTGTCGTACAACTATTTGGAAGCTGATTGCAGCGGGCTTGACCCGGGGATCCCAGGATTGTTCACTTAGTGTAAACATGTTTTATTCAAAATAAATTGAACTAGGATTGGTAAACAAGCCGTAATGGCTTATTTGAATACCTCTCCATTTCATTGATACATGAATAAAACAAATATTAAATAATGTGCAGCATGATAGGAAAGCAAGCAACATGCGTATTAAACATTATTAATCATTTATCAAACCTATGCAATTTTATTGTAAAGGTATGGACAGATTGTAGTATGAAAAAATTTACAAGTACATTTTTGTTTGGATTACCATTTAGGACAGAATTTAAATTATATCCATGTTCGTAAAAATACATGCGATGTCTGATGTTAGAATAATTAGGACAAGTAAAGAAGTAATGTAAAGTATCCTCATAGGGGTGACCACAGGAACAGAATGGATCAACTGAAATGTGCCGTTCAAACATGTGCGCTTTCAAATTACTGCACCCAAGTCTGAGGCGTGAGTGGATAATTTGGCAGAAACGTGTACCAAAGTTTTTATCAAATATATTAAAATTGGGTGGTTTTGATGATTGGAATGCATTTTTGAATGAGCCTATGGTTTCAATATCGTACATATTCTCAGGCAGATCATTCCATTGTCGTATTGTATCAGGTAAAAACGAGTTGCTATACAAATCACAACGACATCTTATAGTTTGAATGTTATTACTGTTTCTTAATCTATGGTCACTTAACTGTGATACTTTTTCGGGCAGTAGATCAGTTAAATAAACTGGTGTCATATGATGAACCATTTTGTAAAATAATGATAACTTGCTAATTTGTCTGCGGTCAACTAGGGGCATAGAGTTAGTTTCCTTATATATTAAATCATGACTTGTTCCTCTAACTGCCCCGCACATCGTCCGCAGAGCGTCCGCAGAGCGTCTAGATGTAGTTTTTCTTGTTCTTTTGTACAGTTATCCCAAAGGTGCGAACAGTAATCGAACGTTGGTAATATATATGACTTGTACATTTGCTCTAATGATTTTCTAGAAAATCTATATTTAAAAATACGTAGACAATTTACCAATGGACGAACCTTTTTAACTAATTCACCAATGTGGGAGTTCCATTTACAGTCTGATTGCAAGGTTACTCCTAGGTGTTTATGGAAGCCGACTTCAGTAATGTCTACTCCATGCATTTTAAGGTTAGGAATTGGAAATTGATTACCGGTATTTCTGGACTGTTCACTTATACACAGACAAAGGATAAGACAGTTGTTTGTGGACTTGTTTAACCATGGTAAAACTTACCACATTCATTCAGGGGAGAGTACCTTTAGTTTCTATCAAATATGGTGCAATTAACTGCGTCAAAAACACAGGTGTTTACGTCCATGACGCTCTGATACAGCTTTTTGGTCGCTGATGGCGCCATGTTGTGCGAATAATCAAACTAATGTAGTGATTGATAATATGAACATCCAATGACCATCCGATATCTTTAGTTTCCTCATACGACTGCTATGGCGCAGCAGAGTTGTGAAATTCTTTGCTCGTAACTCCGAAGTCATACGTTTGATTTCCAACATAGGATCGTAAATCTAGGGTAGACCGTCGTGATATTGCCATAATATACGAAACGCCAAAAGAAACGTTACCCTCCTTCTTTAGTGATGGAGGTACCTATCTTCAGCTAGCGTTGTGATGCGTGGACGTCAACTTCTTGGTC